GGTGTGGGGGCCTCCGAGATGCCTTCCATGGCGGCGGAGCAGCCCTGGACGGCATCCCGAGGCACGACCTTACGGCCTACAGACTGGAAGGGGGAGGCAGGGAAAGGCTTTCCCCCCTCCCCCTTCTGGTCCGTAGGTCGATTCTCTGGCCGCAAGTCGAAGTAAAACTTTGCGGCCGGAGAATTCCATAGGTCGAAAAGTATGTAAGTAGAGCTGACTGTAAGTTGAGACTCCACTGTAGATGATAGGAACCTATGATGTGTGAATTTAGTGTGCCTGTACTGTAAACAGATGAGGATAGAGTTGTTCTTTTTATCCATTATGCAGATGATGAGGCACATCTTGTTTTGTGATTTTTTAAAAAAGGATCATTTAAAAACATGGCACCCACAACCCTCCAAGCTCATTTTCCCAGTACAAGTAGTCATTGAGGCTAAAAAGACCACAGTGATGGCCAAAATCATACCCACTGTTTTGGTTTAAGCAGATTGATTGATTGATTGATTGATTGATTGATTGATTGATTGATTGATTGATTGATTGATTGATTGATTGATTGATTGATTGACATCCTGCCACATGTGTAGATCTTCCAGTTTTGGTTCCCCAATTCCCAGTTGCGTTTTCTTCCATTTATGTTTCCATTCATGTGTTCTTCTCACATGTAATGTGCACTAGAGATACACTTTTCCAATGCATGTTTTTCCTTTTCATTTTTTAAATGTACACACTTTAATATACATTTTCCACATTCCCTAAAACATGGCTCCATGCATACGCATTTGAGCCCTGAATATTTTAATGTGTGCTCCAGATAGAAAAAGACTACCATATACTTTTTCTTCCCAAAGACGGAAAGCAAAATGTATTAGGGGGCTTTTGTGAATTGCCTCTGAAACCAAAAGTAGGAGGAATTCATTTTGTAAGATGCATTGTTTATTTTTAATAATTACATGCCATCAAGTCAGTCCTGACTTATATGACTCCCAGGGCTGTCTAGGAATCAGATACTCAAACGTAGACCCTGAATCCTTCTAGTGGTGCTCTGCGGTGTGCAAGGGTGTCTAAGGACACACAGGCACGAGGGGTGATAACCCCATGAGGGAGATACATTCTGGGTGATCCTCTCCTAGTAGTTACAGTGGGAAAGTCCAACTCTCAGCTCTAGATCTGCAGCCAGCACTCCAACCTACTAAGCCAGTCCATGTTTACAGGTTTGTAAGTGCGATACCTGTGTGGGAATTCCCTGCAGCCAAATCCCACGCTCGGCAGCATCTGGCAGATCTTTCTGCAGCAGAATGGCACACCTCTGATGTTGTGTGTAAATCCAGTAGCCAAATATTCTTCCTTTAGGGAAACCTGGGAAGGATGAATTCATCAAAGCCTGGAGTGTGAGTTTGTCTTGAGATTCTTTAAGCAATATAGACATGCTTAAAAAAGGATAAACCCAAGACATTTTGGTGTTTCAGTGAAGGACAAGATTGTATTGAATTCAGAGTTCAGAGATAATGGGCTTAAAGTTAATATAATTATTTTTTAAAATATTTTTCAGCAGCATTTTGTTTTTTAAATTCTAATTTATGGTACTTCAACTTCTTTCATCCTGGCCACTTGTTAAGAGTCATTTTCAATAATTCTGGGTTATGTGTTAGAGTTCAACAATTTCACAAATAAATCACTGACTTAACTAATGAAGTTAGTAGTGTTTTTAGATTTACAAATTAGATTTTTTTTTGAGAAATTAAGGTTAATGTGTTAGTAGTGCTGCTCACTGAGCAGGAATGAGAAAAGTGGCAGCTACATGTAGTCCCAGTGGCTGAAATTACACACCAGAACCCCACAGAGGGAGGGGGGGGGAATCCTAGGTCCCCATAATTTTTTTTAATTGCAAAGAAAATCCCCTTTTGGTTCTCAGCATATCAGAATTTTAGCCACTAGAGGGCATGGGAGCTCAGTTTTAAAAAGTACTTTTAAAAAAGAAAAATATTGGAGAGAGTGGAGATTCCCTTGGGCCTCTGGAGATTGTCCAGCCCTACTCTAAGACAACTATATGAGCAGCTGTTGCTCACATCATCAACACCATGCATTGGACAGCATCAGGTATTCCACCTGAATACAGTGGCCTAGTTTGGGGGAAAGGGAGTGTCATATGGTACACGCCACCACCTCTGGTTCCTTCTGCCTAATAGGAGGCTGGCCTCTTTCACAGTCCCCAGGCATAGATAGTCTCAGATGTATTAGAACAAAACACAAAACAGACACAAAATGAGAATTGGGAGTTATTTTATGTGTGGCTCCAGGCAAAGACTTAAAATATAGAATATGTAAAGTGACTCATAAAAGAGATAAAGAAAGAGATAAATAAAGTGTGTAAAAAAACCTTAGTCTCCAACAAGACCTTGCTCCTCACCATCCTTGTTCTTCTATCACTTTCAGCTGCTCTTAAGTCCTGTTGCCTTACTGGATTTCTCAGTAACCAGCACTTACCTCAAATTGTGATGATCAAAGCAGAGGAACACTTGTTTGTTCATGGCAGCTTTCCCCTCCCTCCATTATGATGCACGAAGTAGCCATAGCTACTGTAGCTCATAGTTTTCCCCCTCCAACAGAGGGGAGAGCTTTTACCTGGAGGTGAATACTGTAGTTGATAGCCATGAAGATCTGGCTGGATAGCTCAGTGGTTTAAGAATCTGGTTTGGGGATTCCGTTCCCCCAGTTGTGCTGCCTCCTGGGAGACGAGCCAGCCTGGGTGGCCTTGGGCAAGCTGCACAGTCTCAGGATGCCCCCAGAAGAAAAGATTGAACGGTAAACCACTTCTGAGTACTGTAATCTCTACATAAAAAACCCTGGAAGGGATCACCATAAGTTTAAATCAACTTGATGGCATTCAATTATTATTATAGGAGGATCTTGATCAATATCATGTCTGCCTTGACAGTCAATCCAGGGGCCAGCGGAGTTTCCTGATGAGCAAAGCTAAACCATTTAGGTCTGGTATGTGGAACTGGCATGCCACGACTGGATTCAGCCCCTGCCCCCTCCTTCATGACACCGTCATTCAGTGGTTTCCTAGTTCTTGAACGTTTTTCCCCACCCCGTTTCTAAATGTTTGAAATGCTTCTCCCAAGATTTAATTACTGGCAGCAAGGGCTTTGATTTACAATATGTGAGTATTTGTGAGATGATAGATCTTGAAAGTGTCATGTACTGCTTGGGGGTTTGTTACATATTTTTAGATCACGTTCTGAAATTTGTAGTTCTAGGCAGCAAGTTTTGAGCATTAGAAAAAGAAATGACAGGATGTGAAAAAGAATAATCTCTACAGTTGCTCTTTTGGGTTATTTTAGAAATGTTATTCACCCAAAAAACCTTAGAATTAGTTAACCTATTAATTGCTGCAAGACAATTTATTGCTCATCTATGGAAATCTCCTAGTTCTCTCACAATTTCAGGTTGGTATAACTGTAACATATTTAACTTAGCCAGCGTATTATAAACTCAGTGAGGAAAGATGGAAATTTAACAGGTTTGTAGGAAAGGCATTTGTTAATTTATCATTGTAACATGAATGTTAAAGATAATATACAATCTTACATATCATTTTCTCGTATATATATAAGGGCTGGTGCAATGTGTGTGTAGATACAAATTTTAGATGCCTTGGAAACAATTTTTTCCTTAAAGAAAAGGAGAAAAGTATACTAGCATTTGGGCATTCTGTGGAATGCAGTTGACCCTCAGGTTGAAAAGATACCCATGCCCTTGTTTTAGGGTTTTTTAGGTTAGTGGAAGCATTATGATTTAAGACAAGTATGGGAAACAGTGTGATGCTGCACCGCTAAATTTCCACTTTCCCTATAAAATAAGACAGGCAGAGAGCTCATCTGTACTTCCCTAACCTCAGTTTCACTTCCAGGAAATTTTCAAGAGTGTGATTTGGCTGGAGAAGTAGACATATGCTCCTGAAAACATTGTTTCAGAAAATCACTCTGTTTTTCTTGCTTGCTTGCTTGCTTACGTATGTGATTTGATTGGTAGAATTTCATAGGGCTGGGACTGTGGCAGCATGGTAGAACTCATAGAACTCATTCTTTGAATACAAATAGTTCCAGGTTCCAACTCTGGCATTTCTAAGCTGGCCCGGGAAAGCTCCTAAGCTAGGTAGACCGAAGGTCATATCTGGGGGACAAGGCAGCTGCTATTAAGAAAGAGAAAGTGCTTCCTACAGCATATGGCCAGCTTTTAGAATTCACCATTGGATGAGGGGGGGGGAATGGGCTCTGCTTTAGATGGTTTTGGAAGAGTTAGCTAGATGCATGTCTATCAAAAGGTCTATGTATCTATACATCAACCACAACTATGATAATGAAATTCACTTTTGAGACTTCGCCTCCTGACATCCCCTAGCAAGCAGAGCCAGTGTCCAAAAACTCGGGCATTCCTGTGAGTACCACACTTGAAGACCAAGAAGAGAATGGAACTTCTGACTTTAGTGGTTCCCAAACTTGGAATTGCAGTCCAGTATGCTCTTGGGCTGCAGCTCCCAGAAGCTCTGACCATTGGCCGTGTTGGCTAGGGCTTCTGGGAGTTGTAGTTTATCTGGAAACCACTGTGTTAAATCTCCACAAAGAAGGAACTTTGTCCCCTCCTTGAAGTCAGTCTTTGTTTCTTTGAGCTAAATCCAACTGATGGGGATCAATGAAACTTAAATGTTCTATACATTTCAGTGAGTCTGCTTGAGCTGGGTCTGCCAAGGTGATTTAATCTTTAAATCCTCCTTATATCTCAGAAGGCTTTACCATAGTATTGGGTGTAACTGATTATGAACCATCCCCCCACCAACACTGGCTGCATTGAAACAGCAGGATTCGTGATCAGAGCGGGCTGTTGGCATTTCCAGGCCTCTTGGTGGGGCTACTGGAAGGGGTGATCATCTTGACCTGGTTGCTAGAAGCAGCATCTTACAGAGGTTACAACCAGCCATCTTGTTTGCTCCTCAGGTGCTGTGGCCAGTACAGTGGTGAAGCAGAAGTTGGCTGAAGTCATCAGGAAAAAGAAGAAGGCAGCTCTGGAAAGGACCAATGCTCCCATCATGCCTTATAGGTAATTATTGACTTGTGTTTGCAACTGTATATAGGGTGGCCGTATGCCAGACTGCAATTCTTTCCCAATCAGGTACCCTCCAAAATGTATTGGACTACATTTCCCACCATCCCCAACCTGCATGGGGAAGGCCAGGCTTAAACAGAATGTTTGGTTTGTTTTGCTACCCTTCTCCAGCTGCCGACCCCCCGCCCCCTGCAAATGATTGTCTCTTTGTCAGGCTGGGTACAATTTAAATCAAATTGATCTAAATAACAATTTAAATGTAACAAATTGGATTTTTTGGACAATTTAAATTTAAAAAATCACTTTCGACCATCCAGCTCTTCCAAGCTCTTCAGAGATACGTGAATGCAGTCACGACAATGACTGATTATCTTCTACAGAGGATAACAGAGTTGAATGGGGGAGACTTTCTGGCTCATAGGTTTCTTTCTTAACTCTTAGGCACTACTGCTCAAATCCTTATTTTCCTCCTCCCTGCAGGCCCTTGGAGCCAATGGAACATGAAGGTGCCACCACGACCATCACCACTGCCACCACGACCACCAACGTGCTTCCCAGTTTCTTTCCTCCGATTTCCAACAGCTCTGGAGATTCTCCTGAGCACTTTCCCTTAAGAAAAACAGGTGAAGAGGCCAAAGAGGGTCAGATAGCCTTCTTTAAGAACAAAGATGGCCCAGGGACCATCCTTGCTTCTTCTGTGTCTTTTGCCACCACTTGCTGCAGAGATCACTTGGAGAAAATGTTCGTGGCATCACGGGAAAAAAATGGTCTCCTGCATCTGCTTGCGTATCAGAGTGCTATTAGACACACACTTGGGCAGGATGATCAGAAGTAAAACAAATAGAAACAGAAGCACTGGAATAATTCAACCTGGGAAGGAAGTGTAAAATAATCTAGGCTCAAAACCTACGTTCAGTGAAGATGCAACTACTCCAGTGGATTTGCTGCCACTTGCTGCTGGTATGCAGATGTCTGTAAGCAGAGGGAGAGCTAAACAGGAGGCAGGGCCCCACTCCCTGAGCTTTGTAAGGAGACCAGCTCCACTGAGCTCCTTTTCACTCCCTAAACTGTTTCCAGTGCCCTGGGGGTCATCAGGAGACCTACTTACTGTATAATTACTGTATAAGGAGAAAGTCTTGTTTTCCTTTTCCCTCTTCACATTTTTCCCCATTTATGTCAGTGGTGTAAATAAAATGTCTATTAATTTCAAAAACAAAAGACATAACATTGAAAACAATCTTTGTGAAGTATTCGGTGGGTAAAACTCCCCGCAGGCCGTAACCTTTATGGGAAGAGGAACAGGAATGCAGGTAAAACAGAAAGAAAGAGAGGAAGGGAGGAAAGAGAGGGGTGACAAGAGCCATGTTGTTGGATCATTGTTGCCCATTGTTTAGAACATGATTATACAGTGGTGCCTCGCATAGCGACGTTAATCCGTGCAGCAAAAATCGCTGCTAATCGATTTCGTCGCTATGCGATTTTAAAAAGCCCATAGAAACGCATTAAAACCTGTTTAATGCGTTCCTATGGGCAAAAAAACTCACCTTAAAGCGAAGATCCTCCATGTGGCGGCCATTTTCGCTGCCTCTTAAGCGAGGAATCGGCATGAAAACACAACGGGCGGCCTTTTTTTTTTTTAACCTGGCGGCCATTTTGGAACCGCCGATCAGCTGTTAAAAAATCATCGTTTTGCAATGATCGGTAAGCGAAACAGCGAACCGATCATCGCAAAGCATTAAAAACTCATAGGAAACATCGCAATGCGATCGCTTTTGCAATTGCAAAAAGTTAATCGCTATGTGGTTTCGTCGCTAAACGGAGCGCCTGTTAAGCGAGGCACCACTGTATTTCAATTAAACAGCGAACCAATCATCGCAAAGCAATAAAAACTCATAGGAAACATCGCAAAGCGATCGCTTTTGCAATTGCAAAAAGTTAATCGCTATGTGGTTTCGTCGCTAAACGGAGCGCCTGTTAAGCGAGGCACCACTGTATTTCAATTGTGTTTTTGTTACCCTTGGAATATTTGGATTTTCTTACTCAGACACACAGTTGGGCTAGTAGTGGCACCACTAGCCCTGCATTTTCCCCTACCCAGCATGGGGAGAGTGGAGGCACATTACTCAGCAGCAGGATAGAAGGTCCAAAGGTCATTCCCTGACATCTCCAGGTAGAGCTGGGAAGGACCCCTGCCTGAAAATCCTAAAGAGCTGCTGCCAATCAGAATTCGCAGAACTGAGGAAGACAGGGCAACTTCTAGTACGGTCTCACCAGAGGCACTTCCTGGCCAAAATGTCTAGGGCCAGCTCTGGGCCTCAAATGTCACCTGAACCAATAATGGAGACAACTTTGCTGTGCTCTGACCCAGGTGACCGTTTCTCTCATCCTTCTCTGCTTTGGTTTCAGCATCTGAGCCGAATCTGAAGTTACGCTATAAGGCCAAGAAGTCTGGTGAACGGCGCAAAAACCCACTGACCCGTAAGGAGAGCGCACCCCCTTCCTTGAAGAGGCGACCGGCAGAAGCCATTGGTGAGTAGAACACTCTTTAAGGGTCTATTCAGAAGGCTCTTATATGCCCAGGAGCAGCTGCCGCCAATCCAGAGGCCTCTAGAGCAGGCACACACCCCACCCACACACACGGCCCACTACTTACACACGCACGTGCCCCTTCGCTGTGCACAAGCGCACCCCTCCCCATGCACAGAGACCCCACCCACCCCAACCGGATGGTGAGTAGAACACTCTTTAAGGGTCTATTCAGAAGGCTCTTATATGCCCAGGAGCAGCTGCCGCCAATCCAGAGGCCTCTAGAGCAGGCACACACCCCACCCACACACACGGCCCACTACTTACACACGCACGTGCCCCTTCGCTGTGCACAAGCGCACCCCTCCCCATGCACAGAGACCCCAACCACCCCAACCGGTCTGTGATTCAGAAAAAGTTGGGGGGCCCTGCTCTAGAGGCTTTGGACAGCAGCTTCCATAATCCCCACTCCACTCCACTTCCACAGTGCTGACTGGGGATGACGACAGCTGTCATCTGAGACGTGTAGAGGATGCTAGAATGGAGAAGACCGATTTGGAGCAGCCATAGCTGCTAGGATCCTCTATCTGCTATCCTTGGGAATGTTTCAGGACTTTAGCTTAGACTGGGATTGAGAGCTTAAGTCTATTTGAAATCAAGCTCATGCTCACATTTTTTTTGTTTTTTGTTTTTTGTTTTTTGTTTTTTGTTTTTTGTTTTGTTTGTTTGTTTGTTTGTTTGTTTTTTGGTCCCTTGCAGATTCTTCTCCCAGCAGCAGCAGCACCCCAGTGTCAGGTTGCAGCTCACCGAATGACAGCCTGGTGACAGAGCATGGAGTCCTTCCACCGGCATCAGGGCTCACACAAGAGGTATGGATCCTATGGTATTGTAGATGAGGAAAAATCACATGATGTCTTTGACTGAGTATATGGGACCGGTAAGCAGAGCATGTAAAGGCATTTTCTCTGGGACTTACGACTCCCAGAATCCACTGTAAGATTTTGGGAGTTGTACTCCAACCATCTAACTCTTCCAAGCTCTTCAAATAAGCTCTTCCCCTAATTCTCCAATGCTGCTCAAGACCACTGTTCAAAGAATGCCACTGTCCTGCTCTGAACTAGAGATCGGCGTGAACCGCTGGTTTGGCCTGGCTTCCCTGCCCCTGCCTCTGAGTGGACGCCCACCAGAGGAGGCGGGACTTTGAAGTGCTGAACATCTCTTAGGCCTAAAAATTGACCCAGGGCACAAACCACCGGGCTGGCAGTTTGGGACCATCTCTATTCTGAACCCACCTACTCTCACCTGATTGCAGAGCCAAGCAGGGTCAGGCCTAGTTCATATCAAGGTGGATAAAAATGTTTTTTTTAAAAAAACCAAATTGATTTAATTATGATTTAAATGTTAAAAATCAATATTTATTTAAATTGCCAAAGAAAATCAATTTTTTATTTAAATCATGATTTCAGTCAAATCCATCCTGACTTTGTCCCTGTGTGGATGATCGCTGAGGGGATCTTCAGGCAGGACGAGGGAAGCCTCCTCCTGCCCGAAGCCTTGGAGAGCCATTGGAATCAGTCATAGAGTTGACAATACAGGTCTCCACAGACCAATAGCGCTGACTTGATAGAAGGCAGCTTCCTACCTTTCTAAGGCAAGGCTGGGAAACATTCAGCCTTCCAAATATTGTTGGATTTCAACTCCCACAATCCCTCACCGTTGACTATCATGGCCGGGACGAGTGAGAGTTGTGCACCAAGAGCATCGGGAGTTCTGTACTTTCTCCATTCCTGCAGCAAAATAACTGGACCTCCAAGTAAACTTCCGCGGCAGGTTTGCCAGCGGTCTGACTCAGTGGAAAGCACCTTCCCATGGGAGACACTTTCACTGTGGGCAGTTTGATTCGTTCATGCCTTGTCTATTTTTTTTTTAGCTAAGAGGTAGGATGAAGTTCCTGAGGAGAAAAATATGGCAGCTTCTCTTGCTTCAGGAAAATGAAACGGGTAGAAAGTCAGAGCAGTAGTGTGAAAATTGGTTCGTTGCAACTGCCACTTCTCTTCTGCAGCTCTTGGCAGGGTCGATCTATATCAAAGCGTGGAATGGGGGCCTGAGGGTTTTAATACAGACCAAAGGTGGGCTCCATTTATGCTACACGGCCACATTTCAAGGAGTTGCTTTGACATCCCCATCTGCCAAGGAACCTCCTGCCCGCAGAACATTCTGGGAAGTGTTTCTCAATCGGGCCCCCTATCGTCCAGACCATGATCAGAATTCTAGGTGGTGAAGTGGGGCAAGTCCCACGGTGGGTTTGATCTGTTTCCCGCACTCTCTGTCACACACCCAGTCTTCCTGGACAACCTGGGACATAGAAGAACACTACCCTTACGAGCACAGAAAAATGGCACCAGGTTTTGGCCCGTGAGGCTGAAGCATTAGGTCCACAGGTCTTTGTGAGCCAAATGGATGCTATGGAAGACTTCTGGAGTTCTTCCATGGGCCAGTGGTCCTGCAACCACAGGTACAGGGAGGAGTTCCTTGGCAGACAAGCTAGTGTGAAATGAGTTGACCTCCAGTTCAAAAAGTTTGCGAACTGGTTCTTAGATGTCTGGGGGGGTTTTGCTTCCCCCCCCCTTCTTGGCTGCAGGCACCACTAGCTCAGCGCCTGAGAATGCAGGAGAGCTCATTGGCCCAGTTTGCTCTTCAGACCACGGGTTCTCTCCCAGCCCTCACCCTTGGACTTCCAGCCACTTCAGCAGCATCTGCCAGGGTATGTATCTGAAGGGGGGCAGGGCAGGAGGAAGGGAGGCCTCAACCCTCTCCCCCATCTTGGAGATGGAATTGCACACTTTGTGCTGAAGATTATTGAGAAAATGCTTGGGGCATATATACTCTCTGTCACACACCCAGTCTTCCTGGACAACCTGGGACATAGAAGAACACTACCCTTACGAGCACAGAAAAATGGCACCAGGTTTTGGCCCGTGAGGCTGAAGCATTAGGTCCACAGGTCTTTGTGAGCCAAATGGATGCTATGGAAGACTTCTGGAGTTCTTCCATGGGCCAGTGGTCCTGCAACCACAGGTACAGGGAGGAGTTCCTTGGCAGACAAGCTAGTGTGAAATGAGTTGACCTCCAGTTCAAAAAGTTTGCGAACTGGTTCTTAGATGTCTGGGGGGGTTTTGCTTCCCCCCCCCTCCTTTCTTCTTGGCTGCAGGCACCACTAGCTCAGCGCCTGAGAATGCAGGAGAGCTCATTGGCCCAGTTTGCTCTTCAGACCACGGGTTCTCTCCCAGCCCTCACCCTTGGACTTCCAGCCACTTCAGCAGCATCTGCCAGGTTTTTTATCTGAAGGGGGGCAGGGCAGGGCAGGGCAGGAGGAAGGGAGGCCTCAACCCTCTCCCCCATCTTGGAGATGGAATTGCACACTTTGTGCTGAAGATTATTGAGAAAATGCTTGGGGCATATATATTTTTTTAAATGAGAATTTTTTCTTGGCGCCAAATGACACATTTAACATGTCGTTACAAGCAAAGTTCCCTTAAAAAGACAAGACTTTCTGTTTATTCTAACATGCACTCAACTCAATCTGCACTGGACAGATCAACCTGTTTCTGTTATGTGAGAGATATAATGGCTTTGTTTGCAAGTTCAGTGCTTCAGGCCTGTGGCACTAAAAGGTCTGCATGCCAGGAGGGATAACATTGTACACAAGTTGCAGCTGAAGCAGGCCCAGTGGAATCAACGGAAGTTACAGAGGTGTTGACCCACCAAATCCACTGCTGATTCAATGAGCCTACTCTGAGTACATCTTACTTCTGGATTTTGGCCAGTGTAACCAGAAACTAGAAATGTTGGGGGCATTTTGTCCCCTCCTACCTCCCCTGCCATTCACATCTCTTTGTTTCTCCCTGCTGCTACTCCTGTGTTTGCTTGGCAGCCGTTGTTCTCAAGTAGGCCTGATCTGAGTCAAACCGTTCTCACGACTCTGAGATATGCCTTCCTGGATTGTACTCAATAGTAGTTGTCTTTTCAAGAAGCCCACCAACAAAGCTGGTCCTGAGAAGTCGTCCAGAAATTGCCCAGGGTTTCTGCAATGGATCTTTTTTTTTTTCCTCCCTTCTTCTCAAAACCAGTGTCCAACTCTGCCCAGCTCCTCTCTTTTGGGACTGCCAGGAGCACAGATAGTTTGGGGTTCAAGAGGCACTCTTTCTCCCTTCTCTCTTCATAGGGTGAAGGAGACCCCAGGGCGCTCCCAGGACTCGCGCACAAACTGCCCGTCCTCGCCAGCACGCATGCGCCCGTATTCCTGCCGGCCGGCTTGGAGCAACATGAGCCCAGCAGCCCCCTGTCCCCTCGGCTCCAGCCGGTGATCATCCTGGAGCCTTCCTTGGCCCACTCTCCCTTGGTAACAGGTGGGTACTGGGGGGGTGCTGTGTTGCGGTACAACGAGGGCAAAGAAGGAGTTTGCTTAACAAAGCACAAAGGCTGTATTTATGGGTGGTGCAAAGGAGATTTGCTTTTGGCTCCCCCAAAAGAAGGACCGCTGAGGAGGTGTGAGTGGTGGCGCAGGCAGTCCCCATCACACACATTTACAATGTTTGCCACGCCATTCTTCCCAAACAGTTCTCTGTTTCCTCACCACAGTCCTGTGAGGTGAGTTGATCTGTAACAGAATGGCCAGTCAAAGGCGATCAAGTGTGTTTCGTACCTTAAAAGCGGCTGCTCTTCTCTTTCTTTCCTCAATTCACAGCATTTACAAGTGACACGTGCCTGGTAAAAACCCTTAACCTTCCCGGATGTGAGCACACCCTGGATTTTCTTTTGAATTTTCCATTCCTCCTTCATCCTCTTGTCTTCTCTCCTTGAAGTTCCAGGTCTGGGAACAGTCCCCTTTCACTTCGGCCCTTCGGTGCTTCCCCCAGAGCGGCTCCCGATGCCCACCCTCCACAAACCCTTGGGACGAACTCGCTCGGAGCCCCTACCGTCCAGAGCTGTGCAGCAACAGCTGGCCTACCAAGAGTACCACACCCTCTTCCTTGAGCGGCTGAAACACCAGACCCAGTTGGGCAAGGTGGGCTCCATTTCTGGTCTCCTCCAGATGTTGTATTGCATGTGTGTACATGAGGAATAAAGTAGGACCCCCGTATCTGCGGGATCAGTATCCACAGTTTCACTTGTCCACAGTTCTGAAAATATTTAAAAATATTGAAAGAAAAAGATCCAGAAAAAACTGTTTTCACAGGTATTACTATAACAGGCCACCAGGTGCAACCAGAGACCATGCTATGAATACTTGTTAGTGAACGATACATAGCATGCTCTGTGGTGCCCACTAGTGGCCAGTTCTGGTGATGCATGTAAAAATATATTTTTTCCTGCTTTTCCCCCCTTTTATCATGCTATATGGCCAGTTCTGGTGATGCATGTAAAAATACATTTTTTCCTGCTTCCTCCCCCCACTTTTATCATGCTGTGTACTGTATAGTGTTCATTATTCTCCGTAGTTTTCAGTATCTGCAGGAGGCCATGGACCCAATCCCAAGCAGATATAGGATCCAACTATATAAATCCTCACTTGTTTAGCTTTGTGAATGAGAACACGAAGGACACTGCAACATTTTTTCTTCCCTCAGAAAAGTGGACTTTTTGTATTTGTGGGAACGTTGCTCCCTCCTCCCCCCCACAAAATAACACAAGTTCCACTTTGTTGCATGGATTAAAAAATATGAGAAGCAGTAGATACATTTTTGTGTCATTTTGAGCAAACCTTTTGGGCTTGCTGCATGTATGTTTGTCTTTTGCTTTTCAGGAAAAAAGGACATGAGTTTTGCATAAAAGCATGACCCCAAATTGACAAGATTCATCCTTCTCCACACCCCATTTCTCTCCCTAGCGCATGTCCAAGTCCAGTGAGAAGCCTCGGTTGCAGCAGATCCCCTCTTCTGAAGACATGGAGGCTGAAGCAGGAGGAGATCCCAGTGACCTGCCCTCAAATCAGGGGGAGCCTTTGCCAACAGGGACCGCCTGTAAAGAGACAGAAAGAAGCTCCCGGCTGGGTCAGCCTCAGGAGGACCATGTCCTTCATCAGGTATCTGGAAGAACATAGCTAAGGGTCCACACATAGGAAAACCAAGGGCACAAAGACAAAGTTTTTTAGACCACTAGTTCCAGGTTGCCAGAGGCAACATGAGAACGTGGAGGTTTGGGTTCCAGACAAAGAACTTTTTTTCCCAAACTCTATGCACTGATCCAATTGCCCATCCCAACGGGAATCTGCTATGTGCCATCAAGTTGTGTCCAGCTTATGGCCACCCGAACAGGTCTTTCAAGGCATGTGTGCTATTTAAGGAGTAGTTTTACCACTTGCACCCACCTCTGTGATGTTCCATGGCCAAGTGGGGATTAGGTCTCCCAGGTCTTATCCATCCCTCTGTCCACTACACACCACACGGGGGTCCCAACAAGAATAGACCCACTTGATCTGTTCTGCACGGTGAGTCAAAATTTTGGCAAATCCCTTTCATTTCATGGATCTACTCTGCTTAGCCACAGTTTTCTCCATTTTTAAGATGCTGTAAAAATGAGTATGATGTTAAAAAAAAATAATTCTCAGCACCCTATAGTTGTTTTCTGCCCAGCCCTACCTAGCTTTAAAAGCTACCTTTCGGGGATCAGTCTCTATAATTCTGTTTTAAGAATATCCCGTTTCTTTGCACACACAACCCAAGGCAAGAGGGTGTCAGTGAAATGTTTGGCTGCTCTTTAAACTAGTCTAATTGCTGGGAGAGGGTTGTTACATTTTCTTCTCCAAGAGAAGGGATCACCTTTTTCTTTCTGTTAATGTTTTGGAATGCCTTTAGGTGTGATTGTGAAGGTGGGATGCGGTGAGGAATTAATAGGAAGACCAACTACCTCCTTTTTTTAAAGCTGCAGAGCCTTTGATCTGTCTAAAATGTAACTTTTCAAATCATAGGCTGGAATTCTAAGCACAGTGTTCAATGAAATCCACTGAACACATGCCAACTATATCCCCGTCTTTCGTCTGTTCTGCACACACTGCACACCAAGCAATGAACAGGCTCCCATATGAGGACAGTTTAGAGGTCTCCCTGGAACAAATAGAGCAGACCATCTGTGAGAATGAAGATTTGAACTCCTGCCTTTGGGAATCCTCTTGCCAGAGAGCATTTCCAACTTTGTGCCCCTAAAGTTTTGGGACTACAATTTTCATCCCAGTCAAGATTGCCAGTGGTCAAGGATGATAGGAGTTGTAGTTCAGCAAAATATGGGGACCTCAGAGTTGGGAAAGGCTGCTTTATTGCTTTACAATCCAGCAGAAACAGCTCTCTATTTCTTTCCGGTCTGCAGTGTGAATGGATTTCCTTTCTTTCTTTCTTCCTCCCTCCCTCTTTCCCTCCCTCCCTCTGTCCGTCTGTCTGTCCCATCTGTCTGTCTCTTTTTCCCTCCCTCCCTGTCTGTCCGTGTGTCTCTTCTTCCCTTTCCTTAGCCAGATTTAGGCTCCTGGGAAGCCACCGATGCTCCTCTGCCATGTGAATGCACTAGAGGGCAGCAGCTGCTCCTGAGATGCACCCTTAATTCAGTTGGCTTGCAGGAGCAGCAGTGGGATGGGAGCAACCCTTGGTTTGTGTTTAGGGGACACAGTTCCCTGTGTGATGTGGTGTCCTTTTCACTCCTCCAGCAGGCCCAGTACGCCTGGGAGCAGCAGCAACAGCAGCGTCTCCAGCAGCACCAGCTCCTGCGGAGACAACCTCCAGTGGACCCTCTGCTGATCCCAGCTGCTCGCGGAGGCCACCGGCCCCTGTCCAGAGCTCATTCCTCTCCTGCCCCAGCCACAGCGTCCCTACCTAGCCAGGACACATCTTCCAAGGCCATCCCGCTCCCAGTGCAGGAGCAGTCTCCCAAACCACACTTCACCACAGGTAATGCAAGTCTTTCTCTCACACATAGACTCAAACTCCAGAGATATGGTGTTTGGGCTATAATTCCCATAACCCCTGATCATTGGCCATGGTGGCTGGGATTTCTGGGAGTTGCAGTCCAAAACTGGAGGACCATTAAAAAAAAATACAGTGAGGCAGAACTGAGCATTCTAGTGATGATGACGATGTAGATGTAGAGGATGATGGCACTGCCGTTTCTGCAGTTGTGGCCAGAAATGCCACTGCCCCATCAGTTTCTCTTTCTCCTTTTTCCATATAATGTGAGATTTAACATATTATATATACTAGCGTCCATCTAATAAAACTCTGCCTCTCCATGCTTTCTGCTTGTTTCCCCATCCATGGCACAGCCTAAGAGCAAAAAAAATGCACCATGGAATGGCATAGCGCATGCCGATGGCCATTGTACAAAATTATAGCTCATGAAGCAGGGGAACCAAATGTAGGCAGCCGTGTGCCTCCCATCACAGGTTGTTTTCATTTCTGCAGGCCTCTGGCGCCACAAGTACACAATGTCAAATAGAGGCTTGGCATCGAGAGAATTCTTTCTACCCTAAGTTTCTACCCTCAGTCTGTTTGGCTTCTGGTAGATGGCAGGAATCCCTATCGGCTACATCTTACAGGGAGGGAGGGGGAAGGGGGAGTAAAAGGGAGGAGATGCCGTGAGCTGCTCCATACAGCTCTGTGGCTGGAGACCTCTTCCGTATGTTTCGATATCATGGGTGTACTTTAAACACTTGCTACTCTTTCCTGACTCCAGGTTGAGCACATGCAACAACTGCAAACGGAAAAAAGTAACAATAAACAAAACACAAACATAATAGAAAACTGTGCTTAAACCAAACAATCAAAATATACATGTTGTAGCAATTCCAGCAGCCCCCAAAATAACAAAGTCAGGGACTCAGGGAGCCTTCATAACAAACAAACCCTGAAGGAATGCCATTAGCAGCTTGCAATTAAAAAAATCTATTGTAAAGAGGTGAAAAGAGAAGCTTAAAAACCCGAATTGCAATATCATCATTCAGTGTTTAGCAGTGACCTGGTCAGACAAAATCTACTCCTCCGATCTGTGGTTCCTAATTAAAAATATGGTTAAGAAGAATTGGAGTGAACCAAGAACCAGATCTGGCTGTGCACTAATAAGGGTGCAAAGAGATCTGTCCCAATCCGGGACAGGGCATGGTGGTCTTTCACTTTATATTGAACTTCTAGCTTCCTTCAAATCGACCTCTTAGGCCAGTCTCATTCTGAGCCAGTACAGAAGTGAAGAAATAGTGGGTGGCCCAGCCCACTGTCATGACTAGTGAGTAGACCCTTGTGCTGTGAATACTTGCCCGTGTTGTTACAACCTGAAGGAAACTAATTGTCCGTTGTAGGGAAAAAAACTGAATTGGGAGAAGGCTAGACCAAAATGACTTTTCTTAACCTGTTAGATTTGCAAGTTTTTATTAGTTTTTTATTGTTTTTGTTGTTGTGAGGATGATGGTGGTGTGGTGGTTAGCTGGATTATTAGTTTCATTGTCATTTGTTTGATTGCCAAATTCACTCCCGGCAACCATCAATACAAAGACTTTCAGGACAGCTGACAAGAAAATGAAGCAATCTCTTAATAATGTTAGTCTGCAAAATTGCTGAGGTGAGCAGGCTTGCAAGTGCACGATTGCTCCTCTGCAGTCTGTGCCACGTCCTGATGGGGCTGTGCCGCGTGCGGATGGTGCATTGTTAAGCCGGATCTCAGAGCTCACCAAGCCCAGGGAAAGTTAGAACTGCGTGGATGACTTGGCTCTTCCTTGTCATATCATTGTAGGAATCGTCTATGACTCTGTCATGCTGAAACACCAGTGCTCATGTGGGGACAACAGCAACCATCCTGAGCATGCAGGACGCATCCAGAGCATCTGGTCCCGTTTGCAAGAGCGTGGTCTGCGCAGCCAGTGTGAGGTAGGGGGCAGTGCAGATCCAAAGCAATGATGGGAGGCCTTTTCCTCACTGGTTGTTCCACTGGAGCTTCTAATAAGGAATCCAGGCATCTGTTGGCTTCATAATTTGTTTGTACTCTCTTAATTTGGCCTTCAGCTAACAAGTATTCTCTATTGCCAGTCCTAGTTCATAAAGATGACCAGTCTGCTCAAGGATAAACTCACTCGCTATGACTTGGACATTTTCATCATTCCACCTCCTAGTTCATAAAGATGACCAGTCTGCTCGAGAATAAACTCACTCGCTATGACGTCTTGTACATTTTCATCATTCCACTGAGCCCAATTTATCTAGCTCATTGCTGTGAATTTCATACAGCTTTGCTAGATTATGATCTCAGCAGGCAAGTGCAGTGGAAGTCAGGAGTACGAAATGCTCATTTTCAATTAATACTAATCAAATATCTTCAGGGGAAATATTTTTCTTTGTGAGGAAAGAGGTGGCAGACAGAGTGAGAAATTTCTGCAGCCATGAGAGCTAGGAACTTGCAACATATAAATCAAAACTCAATTGCTTCTTTATACCAACACTTCTGTCCAGTTTGGGGTCAGTCAAGGAGACGGACACCACTGGTTACTTAATGCATTTGCAGGTGATCACGGAAAACCACCTTGAAAACATTGGGGGTGGGTGGGAGGGAACAATGAAGCCCTGAAGCCCTCCCTTCCCCTTATGATGGAAAAGCAAGCTGCTTTTAGGTATGCTAACTTGACTCTTAAATGCTGCATGCAGTTGCAGGACAGCTTCAAAATAGTGCTGGCTGCATGCAAAGCTCTTTGCTGTGAATTCCATACAAATTTATTGGATTATGGTCTCAGCAGACAAATAAAATGGAAGACACAAATACAAAGTATTAATAATCAATTAATATTAATAAAATAGGAATGTCTGATTAATGTGAAACTTAATCATTCTTTCATATAATAGCATCAAGTACTGAAATACCTTATGTAATGTAATACATTAAGGCTTCTGAAGAACCCTAGAAATTGTAGTTTCTAGACATCTCCAGCACCCTTTTGTTGTAAGTACAGATTCCAAGACTTTCAAAGGGAAGGAGATGACTATTCAGCCTGCTTTTCTGTAGTATAAATACTTGTCAATTTACAAAAAGAAACCAAGAGCCTGTATTTATTTATTTTTGATTGATTCCAATCTTTTTTACAATAGGCAAACAATGAATAAATCCAAGGTGCATATCATTTTTTCATTCTGTCCTGTCAGCCTCTAGCCCCTTAATAACAAACTAAACAAGGAGGAAGGGAGATTGATGTTGTGCCTATATTGCACCAACACAGCTCTTTGGTGCCCGTCAGTGCCCATATCTCTGTCCTAAGGAATCTTGGGTGTTGTAGATTGCCACGGTCCATAGAATTATATGCTACAGTTTAGGGAACAACACAAGTGGCAGGAGGTTGTTCCAGTAGAGGACTGCCTTCTTAAATTATATGTCACAGGATTTTATAGAATGACGGCAATTAAAGAAGCATATACTTGTAACTATATAGGGTAGATGTACTCTTAATCCACTTCCAGACATGGCTTTCACTGTGTAATCACTCTGCCCCATTCACAGAATTTTGTAGGAAGTCTAGAGAACACCCATTTCTATTTAGCCACTCACGATTCTGGGATTGGTAGTCCCAACAGTAACTTTGCCAGGTGCTACGCTCAAAGTGCCATCTGTCTGAGAACATCCCCAAGTTGCTGTAGAAGAGGAAGGAAAGAAGCAACAGAGGTGGAAGGAACAAGTCATTTAAGCCCTCAAATTAAGAACATGGACTTGGAGTAACCCAAGTCAAGAGAAAAGTCTGAAAGTTTAGTCTCTGTGCAGAAGTTTTTAATGATTCATCATGTCCTCCCTGCTCCTTATTAGGGCTCCCATTTCACTGCACATTCACACCCTTTCTTGGGCTTCTCTTCCTGATCACATGAATTCCAGCAAATAACAAAGGATGCACTTTAACAGTCTTGCATATTTCCCCAGTTGAGATGTTTGCTCCCCAAGGAACATATAAAGCAATTACAAGTTCGCAGAATGGCCTTGTTAATTCAAAGGCTGTTGACTCAGAGAGCAACAAGCATTTCTCATGCCCTGTAAATCCTGGCCTGTAAATCAGTGCTGCATTATATTTTTTTGAAGACACCCATTTCACAGATGCTTGACAGATGTGTCTCACCACAAAGCATCTGCACATCTCAAGAAATTTATGTATGGCTATTTTTGTTTATTTGTTTATTTATTCTTAGATCACTTAGATCCCCGTAGAGATCATATTCTCAAGAAGGTGACATTCTCTTTATTCCCCTTCTTCCTTTCTCTACCTGGTAGCAACTGTGAGACAGGCTCCTGTGTAACTTGGTCCAAAAGATTTCCTAGGGAGACTCGTGCTGTAAAGAAGACATTACTTCCCATCAAAAAACATTTTTCCAGGCGAACGGACAGAGTGGGACACGTGGCTGCCTAGAAGTGGTGCCCCACACTTTCCAGTCCAAAACATCAGTGACAAACATGGCTGACTGTGTTGCTTTGTGGTTGCTAGGCAACAGCACTGTGCTTTCTCCAATGCAAAGAATCAGAAAAATTGCCAACCACAGTTCAAGTATGGTGGCCATGTGGGTATTGGGGGGGGTGGATGGAGGAGTGAGTCAAAGGACAGCTAGATTACATACAGAAAGACCTCTAGTTGGGTGAGGCTGTAAACGGGAGTACAAATGAAGAAGATCATGGCCTTCTCTGATGTTTTGACATGCTGATCTTGTGTAAAACCTGACATTTCCATGAGACATATTCAGGAAATAATTTCTTAGTGGTTTTGTATTCCGTGACTCAAAGCTGCCTGTCCTTCCCTGGTGACTTTTAAAGGTGCCCAGAATCTTCCGTCTCAAATAGGCCTGCCTCTTAGAGAGGAACAACCGAAGGCATCTCAACTCCTGGTGTGCTTAGAATGGCATCGTATGGCCCTGTAGGCCAACACATACGTCCAACCTCCAAGCCCTGGGATCTTCCTTCTGCAATAAGGGCTGAGGGGTGGGGAGTCTAAGGCTGAAACCATTTTCTCTCTCTCTCTCTCTCTCTTTCCGATTTTGTCTCCTCTCTCTCTCCCTCTCTCTCTCTCTTTCCGATTTTGTCTTTCTGCCAGAGTCTCCGGGGGCGCAAGGCCACTTTGGAGGAGCTGCAGTCTGTTCACACGGAGCGGCACGTGCTGCTATACGGCACCAACCCTCTCAGCCGCCTGAAGCTGGATAATGGGAAGCTAGCAGGTGAGAAGAATGGGCGAGGAAAAGATGTGCTCAGTGGCCAAATCTTTCCTCTCTGGACCCATGCGCACTCAAGGAGTGTCAGGCCCCACCCTGTCCCAAACCACAGAGGGGTTGTTCCAGATATGTGCCGTTATTAACCCTCTACCACATGCCCCAAATTAGCAGACAGACAAGATGGCTGGGGTCCAGCCCCAAGTTCATTGTTGTCAAAGCTCCAGACTAGAGAAAGAGCCATGTGGGTTCACTGAGTCAGGAAGTGTGCCTTCTAAATCTGAGAGGGTCAGCTTTAGAAGACATACCCCATAAGCATCGCTTGAGCATTGTGGCCGTTAAAGATGTGACATCTCTAGAGGCTTTTGAGAGTACCGTGCCAGTGACATCCCGCCCTCTCTACCTGTCATGTCGCTGTTAGCCTTTTATATTTCCAGCCTGCCCATGTGAAGTCTTCTCCCTGGCCTAGAACTTGGAATGTGTTGCAAATAACTGTGTTACCTACTTTGGTGGCGGTGGTGGTGCGTTAATGAAATGGTAACAACATTCCTTTTAGGGTCAGCAACCTACTTATTTTTCTGTGTAGGAGCGTCATTACTTTCTCATAGCTCCTCTTGACGCGTGTAGAGTCTTCCCATTTTAGATAGTTTTGTTTTACTTTTGAAGTTTTTCAATAAAACATAACAAGTAACCCCACAATTCACTACATTTGTGAAGACTAATGGCAACTAGCTGTTGTTGTTTTTTGGTGGGTTGGATTTGAAC